AAGAGTGCCCATGGGTAACAGCGGTGAGAAACCTCAATATAGCTGCTGGGAAGGCATCCCCCCCCCCACAAAATAACAACCCGCATGCCCCCCCCCTCGCAGCAGGGCCATTTCTGCCACATCAGATCAGCACAAGCAAAGCCAAGAAAGTGAAAGCAATTTCTTCTTCACATGACAAATTCTGGCAGCAGCAGGAGCAGGCGCTGAGGCAGAGGAGCCAGTGCCTGTGTCATCCTGCTGGGCAAAGAGGCTCTGGGGGCCTCAGTGGAGCAGGAAAACACTGAGCCCACCTGGGCAAAAACAGGAGGGGTGGGCCCTCTGGGCTGGAGAGGAGAGGCGCAGCTCAGCACAGCCGCCATTGCAGGCAGAGGAGGCACCCCCTGGTTCGCTCTCCCCTGCTGGGCAGGCAGCTCAGCTTCCTTAAAGAGAGAGACCCAGCCAAGGAGGCCCTTGCCTTGGCCTGGCCCCAGTCCCACGGCGGGGTCCCTATCCCCACTGCCATTTCAGGCGGGGCCACTCTCCTTCCCAGGACGGAGCAAAGGAGCGGGGCCAGGCGGCTCCTGTCCTCAGCCCTGCCTGGGCCAGAAGGAACTTCCTCCAAGCCTCAGTCAGAGCCTCCAGCTTTTGGCATCGCACTCCAGCCTTCGCTGCGTGGAAACCCCTCAACACCGCCCCTCGCTTGATAACGGCACCCCCTTCTCAGGTCCTCGCTTGATAACAAGGGGGTCCTTGTTTGATAACTGCACCCCCTTTTCAGGCATCGCTGGAAATTGAGCTGATGAGGCTCCCCCCTTTCCCAAAAGCCCCCTCCCCAGGTATGTCTGTCCAGGCATTTCTCTGACGCTGGGGGGGCGGGGGGGGGCGGAGATATCCAGGGGAGCCATTCCCTTCAGGAACCCCTTCGGGCCAACCCCACCCTCCTCCCCATTTGCCCAGGCAAAGCCCCCTCCCTCTGGAGAAAACAGGCAACGTGCGTGGATTGGGGGGGGACTCCTCATCTCCTTCCTCATCTCCCCCCGCAGGTGCCACGGGTGTCTATTGCAGGGAGGGGTCTGCCTACCTGCGTCCCCTTCCACATATGAGAGGGCGGGGGGGGTCACCCTAGAGGTGCTTCTTCAGCCCTTTCCCCCCCCCACCCCGTCGCCTCCTGGTAGGTGGGGCGCCCCTCCCTCCCGGTGCTCAGGTGCGCGTGCGGGGGGAGGGTGTGGCAGGGGGAGTCGCGGGAGCCCCTTCCTCACCTGGCTGCCGCTTCCTCCTCCTCCTCCTCGCCGCCGCCGCCTCAGAGTCTTTCCTGCCGCCTGGGCGGGCGCCCAGAGGAGCCCAAGCCACCTTCGCGCGGAGCCTGAGCCCTCCCAGCCACCGTCGCTGCCGCCATCTTGCCGCCGCCGCCGCCGCCGTCCCGGCCGGGGAAGGAGGAAAGGGGGAGGGAAGGGATGGGGCCGAGGGAGAGGTGGCGAAGAGGGACGAGCGTTGCTAACGCGCAGGCGCGCGCGGGCAAGACCGCCGGACACGTGACCCGCGGCGGAACGGCAGGGAGAAGTCCTGTTGAAGAGCGAGTGTCACGTGCCCCCACCACGTAAAGGGCGCTACGCGGCCGCCATGTTGGGAAGGGCAAAGGCGGCGCCCGGCGGGGGGATGGAATGGGGCCGAAGGGGAGGGGCTAACGGGACCCTTGTCGGCAGGCGCGCGCCATCTTGGGAGGGATTGTGACGCCATGTGGGGCGACGGGGAGGGGTCTCAGGTGGGGCGGAGTCAGCCGAGAAACCTGTAGCCAACCAGACGCCGCTAGCGGGATGCGGGAGTCTCCTTAAGACACCGGCGGGGTAGACTGCTCTTGCGCATGGAAGGTCCGCCGGAAGGAGGAGGTCTTCCCACTAGGAACACTCGAAGCTGCCTTGTTGCTGAGTCTGGCAACTGTCCCACCTAGCTCAGGGCTGCCTCCACTGAATGGCGGCGACTCTCCTCGGCTTCATGCAGGGATCTCTCCCATGCAGTTGGAGACTGAACCAGGGATCTTCTGGCGCTTTGCTCTAGGACAGTGTTCCCCAACCTTGGGCCTCCAGCTGTTTTTGGACTACAACTCCCATCATCCCTCGCTAGCAAGACCAGTGGTCAAGGATGATAGGAATTGTAGTCCAAAAACAGCTGGAGGCCCAAGGTTGGGGAACACTGCTCTAGGACACGCAGAGGCAAACTCGGCCCTCCAGATGTTTTGGGACTACAATTCCCACCATCCCTGACCACTGGTCCTGTTGGTTAGGGATCATGGGAGTTGGTTAGGGATCTCGGGTTAAGTACTTAATTCGTTTCGGAGGTCCGTTCTTAACCTGAAACTGTTCTTAACCTGAGGTACCACTTTAGCTAATGGGGCCTCCTGCTGCCACCATGCTGCCGCTGCACGATTTCTGTTCTCATCCTGAAGCAAAGTTCTTAACCCGAGGTACTATTTCTGGTTTAATGGAGTCTGTAACCTGAAGCATATGTAACCTGAAGCGTATGTAACCTGAGGTATCACTGTTGTTTTTTAACATAATTTTTATTGATTTTTTCTGTATTTCATCTTAATTCCATACACATATTCACAACTTATATTATTTGCTCAAAATGAGCTTTGACTTCCTTCCGTCTCTTTCTGACATCCCTATGACATTTAACATATCTATCGCATTCTCATGATCACTTCTTTATCATATATTAGCCTTAAGAAATCATATTTTTGTTTATAAATCAGCATCAAAATTCCTCATTACAGAACATATCACGTTAATGCTACAAACGTTTTCATATAAGTACAATTTTCTTTCAAATAATAAATAAATTTGCTCCAGTCCTTTTGGTATTTTTCTTCGGGTCGATTCCTAATTCTCCCCGTCAGCTTCGCCAACTCCACAAATTCTACCATCTTAATTCTCCAGTCTTCCAATGTCGGGAGTTCTTGCTGTTTCCACCTTTGAGCCAGGAGAATTCTCGCTGCCGTTGTGGCATACATAAATAAATTCACATCTTTTTAATGAATTTCTTCATTACTTATCCCTAATAAGAATGGCCCAAGGTACCACTGTAGTCCCAAAACATCTGGAGGGCAGTTTGCCTATGCCTGCTCTAGGAGTCCCTGGTTGGCCACTGTCTGGGGAGCAGGAGACTGGACTTGATCCAGCTGCTGGAATGCTCCTTTGTTCTTGGCAATTCCATAAAAGCCTGTGGGGTTGTCCTTCCACTCTCGTGATACTAGTCTCAGCAAGGAAGCCGACTGTCGCTCAGGACAAGCCAAAGGAAAGGGAGAGCTTCTTCACCCGGGGCCCAGTTAAACCAGGGAACTCACTCCTGCAAGAGGCAATGGGGGTCACCAACCCAAATGGTTTTAAGAGAGGATTAGATCAATTCATAGCAGAAGGTGTGTCGGGGGCAGTATTGCTTCTGAATACGAGTCCTAGAGGCCACAAATGAAGAGAGGGCTGCCGCTGCGCTCAGGTCCTTCTTGGGGGCTTCCCAGAGACCGGGTGTCTTTTTGCCCACTAGGTGGGCCTCCTTTAAATCTGATCGAGTTGCAGGGATCTCCTTGTGCTCTTAGAAAGAAGAGTCCTGGGTCAGGCAGGAGATCCCTCCAACCCACTATTCTGTCGCCAAGCAAGTGCTTCCAGAGAACCTTTTGTTGGTTCCCGTGCCAGCTCCTGGTGTTAAGAGGCAGACTGTCCCTGGATGAGGAGGCGCCATTCATCTCCCACAAAATCGTTTTTTCCATAGCCTACAACGGTGGATGCTCCATCGTCTCTTATTACTGTGATATTATAATTTTGCTGTGTTTTGTGCTTATTGTGCTACTGTGTGTAGAACGCTCTGTGTTTCCGCTAAACTGTACGGTTCTTTCGGGAGTGGACACTCTGCCTCGGGAGAAGGGGAATACAGTACATGTTGTTGTTTAGTTGTGTCCGACTCTTCGTGACCCCATGGACCAGAGCATGCCAGGCACTCCTGTCTTCCACTGTCTCCCCCAGTTTGGTCAAACTCATGCTGGTAGCTTGGAGAACACTGTCCAACCATCTCGTCCTCCATCGTCCCCTTCTCCTTGTGCCCTCCATCTTTCCCAACATCAGGGTCTTTTCCAGGGAGTCTTCTCTTCTCATGAGGTGGCCAAAGTATTGGAGTCTCAGCTTCAGGATCTGTCCTTCCAGTGAGCACTCAGGGCTGATTTCCTTCAGAATGGATAGGTTTGATCTTCTTGCAGTCCATGGGACTCTCAAGAGTCTCCTCCAGCACCAGAATTCAAAAGCATCAATTCTTCGGCTATCAGCCCTCTTTATGGTCCAGCTTTCACTTCCATACATCACTACTGGGAAAGCCATAGCCTTAACTATACGGACCTTTGTTGGCAAGGTGATACAATACAGTACATATGGTACTATAAGGTAAAGGTACCCCTGCCCGTACGGGCTAGTCTTGCCAGACTCTAGGGTTGTGCGCCCATCTCACTCTATAGGCCGTGGGCCAGCGCTGTCCGGAGACACTTCCGGGTCACGTGGCCAGCGTGACATCGCTGCTCTGGCGAGCCAGAGCCGCACAGGAGACGCCGTTTACCTTCCCGCTAGTAAGCGGTCCCTATTTATCTACTTGCACCCGGGGGTGCTTTCGAACTGCTAGGTTGGCAGGCGCTGGGACCGAACGACGGGAGCGCACCCCGCCGCGGGGATTCGAACCGCCGACCTTTCGATCGGCAAGCCCTAGGCGCTGAGGCTTTTACCCACAGCGCCACCCGCGTCCCTCTCATATGGTACTATATTCCCGGGTAATAACACATCTGTTTTTGCGCATGCGCTAAAGACCAGCGAGCCAAAAAGTTACGCATGCGCGGCGACTCCAACCTGAGATTTGTATGCGCCTGTCATGAGCTATGGCGAATGCGCATGTGCCTTATCCATCCGGGAATCTCGTATATGGGTATTCCATAGGGGAGAGCGGCGCTGCCCACGCACGCGCAGGAAAAACCCTTTGCTTCGGTAAAGGGAACGGGAACCGCCAGAAACGCGCATGCGCCGAGAGAAGCAGAGCCGCGAGTGCGCGTGCCGAAGTGAACAGCGGCGCTTTGGCAGCCGAGAGAGCAATTGCGCCGCCGCCGCCAGTGCGGGGAGCGTCGCGCGCATGCGCGTTGGGCGGGCTGGCGGCGGAGGGGAATTACAATGGAAGATGAGGAGGTCGCCGAGAGCTGGGAGGAAGCGGCCGACAGCGGGGTGAGCCCGAGCCCGGACCGGGGGCGGCGGGGGAGGCCGCCAACAGCAGGGGGGGGGGCCGCGGGAAGAGCGACTGGGCCCGGCCTCTCATGGCTGGCGGTGAGGCGCCTTGGGCTCCGCGGCGCCTGCTAGGCCTCTTAAAGGGGCCGCGCCCCATTTCCCCCGGACCACGTGCTCCCTGCGCGGACCCCCACCACACACCCCCTCAAGCTCTCCGAAGGGGCTGTCTAAGGGAGCTGCCGAGGAGGTGTCCCGGGGCTCCGATCTCCGCGTGTGTGGGGGGGCCCTTCCCCCTCCCGTTCCTCTTTTGCAAGGAGGGGCGCGATGTGATTCTGGGACGCCTCTCCCTCCCTTGGGTGGCCCACCCGAAAGAGGGGTGGCTTGCACTTCAGGGTGAAAAGGCTCAGCTGCCTCTCCCCGCATTCGCCTTGCCTGTTGGGGAAGAGGGGACCCCGGCCTCTGAGGGGCTGCAGGTGGCCCCTCGAACAACAGAGGGAGACGCCTTGGGCCCGGCCCAGGCTCTTTCGCTTGCTGGCCCAGCTGGTACTCCTCTCCCGGGGCTGTAAGGGGCAGCTCCACGGCTCTGGGGATCTTCTACATGCAAAGCGGGGGCTCCCCCCAAGGCCCAGCCCCTGGTGAGTGCTCTGCCTCCTTGCCGCCGGGTTTGTGGAGGAGAAGGTTGCTAGCGCTTGGCCTCCAAACCCTGGGAGCACCCGTGGGCTTATCTCCGAGTAAACAGTGTGTAGTAGGATTGTGCTGCCAGGGATGGTTGCGTGATGCCTCATTTGGAGGCAACTGAAGGCTTAGGACTAGTAAGTGTCTTCGAGAATATTTCCAGGAAGCTCTGCCCTCAGACACCACCAAGGCAGGGATCTCAATAACAGGGACATGGCATGTAGAGGGAGGGTGGTTGTATGGCCTGGATTTGAGAGGCTGTCTGCGTAGCATGTGTTGAAATGGACACGGCAGGAGCTTGTAGGCTCCAGATCCCTTAACCACAGAGCAGCTTGGAGTCGGACAACTTGCTTCCTATCAGCAGAGTCTGAGCAGGCCCCTCTTCCCTGGAAGAACCCCAGGAATTTCTTAAGTGTCCCACCAGTAGACAGCACGTCTGCTCACCCAGGTTCTAGCCATTGGTCAGCTAGGTAGACTCCGATTAAATACATTTTATCACTCTTTTCTTGGTTCCCACTGGTGCTGCATGCAGTGCCTTTGGACCATTCATTTGCCTAAGAGGTAGTGATCTGTTTTGGTTGTGCCTCTGGCAGCCCCGAGTACCTTGTCAGAGGCTACAGCAGGGCGGGTAGGCAAAGGTCTATCAAGTTTTGCCCTCCGCCTTCCAGGCAGAGAGCTTTTTAACAACAACAACAACAACAACAACAACATTATTTGTTGTTTAGTCGTTTAGTCGTGTCCGACTCTTTGTGACCCCCTGGACCAGAGCACGCCAGGCACCTCTGTCCTCCACTACCTCCCGCAGTTTGGTCAAACTCATGCTGGTAACCTCGAAAACACTATCCAACCATCTCGTCCTCTGTCGCCCCCTTCTCCTTGTGCCCTCCATCTTTCCCAGCATCGGTGTCTTCTCCAGGGAGTCTTCTCTTCTCATGAGGTGGCCAAAGTACAAAGTACATTATTATTTATATGCTGCCTATTGGACTGGGTTGCCCCAGCCACTCTGGTCGGTTTCCAGCAAAATACAAAAACACAAGAAGACATCAAACATTAAGAACTTCCCTTCAGATGTCTGCTAAAAGTCATATACCGGTAGTTGTTTATATGTTTGACATCGGGTGGGAGGGCATTTCACAAGGCGGTTGCCACTACCAAGAAGGCCCCCTGCCTGGTTCCCTGTAACTTCACTTCTTGCAGTGAGGCAACTGCCAGAAGGGCCTCAGAGCTGGATCTCAGTGTGCAGGCTGAATGATGGGGGTTTATACAGGGCTAGGGCCATTTAGGGCTGTAAAGTTCAGCACCAACAGTTTGAATTGTGCTTGGAAACATACTGGGAGCCAATGTAGATCCTTTAGGACTGGTGTTATATGGTCCCAGCTGCTGCTGCTGGTCACTAGTCTAGATGCCGCATTCTGGATTAGTTGTAGTTTTTGAGTCATCTTCAAAGGTAGTGCACTGCACTGATACAAACAGGAGATAATCAGAGCATGTACTCTGACAAGATAGCGCGCAGGCAGGTAGAGTCTCAGCTAGCATACCAGATGGGACTTGTAGCCATCCTGGACAGAATTAACCTGCACCTCCAGGTGAGAGTCCAAAATGACCCCAAGCCTGCACACCTGGTCCTTTAAGGGCACAGTTAGTCCATTCAGAATCAGGGAGCCCCCACAGCTGCCTGCCTCCTGTCCCCTAGAAACAGTACTTCTGACTTGTCAGGATTCAACCTCAATCCTTTAACTGCCTTGAGATGCTCACACAGGACATTCATCACCTTTACTGGTTCCAATTCAAATGAGACGAGGAGCTGGGTATCATCTACATACTGGTGAACACCCTGCCCAAACCATATAGATGTCCCAGCAGCTTCATATAGATGCTAAAAAGCATGGGGGAGAGGATGGAGCCCTGAGGCATCCCACAAGTGAGTGCCCAAGGGTCTGAACACTCATCCCCCCACCACTGGAGCTGTTCTGTGACTACCTGCTCAATCACCTTGCCCAGGAATGGAAGATTTGGAATGGGGTGATAATTGGTCATAATGGCCAAGTCCAAGGATTTTTTTTTAAGAAGTGGTTTCATAACCATTAAGGGCGTCCAGGAAGACTCATTCATAGAGGAAGCATCCACTCCATGGAGCTCATTGCCCATCCCTGCTTGGCTTGCTTTCATGAGCCAAGATGGGCAAGAGTCAAGGAGACAAGTGGTCGACTTCACTCATCCAAGCAGCCTGCCCACATCTTCCAATTGACCTCCAGATTTGAGTGTGGCCTTGGTGGCTGGCCATATTTGTGTGTGAGGGTGCCAGGGCATCTCATTGTTCAGTCTTGCACCCTGCGTTCTGGGTGGCAGAGACCTAAAGGCCTGCGGGCTGCCCTTTGCCTTGGGGTGCTGTCCGGTCTCCCTCCTCTCCTCTCTCCTTTCCTCCATCTCTGCCTCTCCACCCTCCAGGCATTTCCCTTGTTTTTATAGGATCCAGCACCTTGCAGCAGCTGATGGGGCTGTGGGCCAGGCTTGCTGAGAGATGGCACTGTGCTGTTTTGCATATTTAAATTGCGGGCGGGAAGCCGTTGAGGAAATGTGGGCGGTTTCTGTCTGTCGAGAAGGGGTGAAGCCTTCACTACAGTTTTCAGGGTGGTAGATTTGGAGAGCTCCCACAGAATGCACCCCTTGCTCTGCCATCTGGCTAGCATCCTGGCAACCCCCCTTGGCTCAGAAGGAAGAACTGTTGCTATGTGCGGTTCAGCTCCTGCGGGCCAGACAAACAGCCGCTTTCTTCCAGGGCCCCCGAGAGCTGGCCCTGCAGCACCCACACTTCCTCAGCCTTTCTGAAGCGGTGGAGGGAAGAGGAGAGCTTTTGGCAAGTGAGGAACTGAGGAGTGGGAGTTGTGGGTTATCCCCCACCCACCCACATACTGCCTGGTAGTTGTTTGGAAGAGGCTTAAAAGCAAGCTTGTGAGAAGCTTCTGAGAAAGCCAGGACAGATAGGGGCCTTTTTTACTCCTCGATTAATGACAGCCGCTGGATCAGGGGCTGTTCTGGGCAGTGGGGTGATAGTTTTGTGCTCCTTTTTTGGGCTGCCTGGAGGCACTTGTTTGGCCAGCTGGGGTGGGATAGCTGGACCAGGAAGTTACCCCCCCTCCATTGCTCCCATGTTCTGACTGAGCAGCGCTGTTGTTCAAATGTGGGCTTTGTGGCTTCCTTTTGGGGAGAGAGGCCAGGGGCCATCTGCACCCCTGCCTCAGTGTCTGTTCACGCTCTGGCTGCTTCTTTCGCAATGGAGAGGCTCTAATTTAATAGCTCTGTTTAACAGAACTTGTCTCCTAGTCCAAAGTCTGGTGGGTGAGTTAATTTTTGAACCATAAAGAGTTAGCACATGGCACAGTGAGGGGTGAGGGGTTTCCCCTCCTCCAAGCAATCCATGACAGGTGTGGGGTGGTGATGAAACTGATCCTTGTAGGAGGAGGTGGGTATCTTTTTTAGGGGTACCCCCTACAAGTAGGCTTGTTCCAGTTGGGTCGTTGCAACAGGCCTTGTGGATCTCCTGTTTTGCTTGGGGGAGTCTCCCCTCCCCCTGATAATTTTTTTAACTGGAGGTGCTCACTCTCTGCTTTGGGCCCAAGACAGCTAGCACCCACCCCACCCACCGGTTTCCTTGTGGGTCTGCTTGGGAGGTACAGGCACCCAGGTGATGCATTTGCCGTGTGCCACACTTGCACCCAGGGGTGTTTGCTGCACCCGTAAAAATAGACTTATCTGTCAGCTGCTATATTTGGCCAGGCTGAAAGTCGGACACTAATTTTAACCCACTTTCTGCACAGCTCGGTGGCCAAGCACCCGCCAAGGGCGGTTGGCAGGAATAGTTACAGGCAGATCTGATGTCAGGACAGAGCCTGGCAAAGGGGAGGCTCTGCCCTTCCTCCGCAATTCTCTTGTACCTTTTTTCGTCCCATCCCGTCCCCCCGTATAGGGAACATCTGTGGCCCTCCAGATAATCATTGGGTGCCCACTCCTATCCTCCTCCCTGACATAAGAAGGGCACTGTAGGTGGATCAGGCCAATTGCCCATTTAGTCCAGCATCTTGTTTTTACATTGGCGGAGCAGGTGCCCATTAGGAAAATCCCTCAACCAGCATTCGAGCACCAGAGCATTCTCTTCTCCATCAATTTGCCTGATCCTCTTCCAAACCCATCCAAGTTAGTGACTATCTCTTCCTCCTGTGGAAGTGAGTGCCAGACTTTCATTATGCAAAGAGGCTGGACCCAGCTGATCTTTGCGATGCTGCAGGAGCACCTTCAAGTTCCCCTGGGAGCAGCAGGGCAGCCACAGAGGGTTCACGCTGGCTCGGGGAGGCCAACGGGGATCCCCCTTCACCTGTGACTCTGAAATGCACTGCGTGAGATTTGAACCATGCCCCGTTTTGTTGTCTTGCAGGAAATAGACAGGCGGCTAGAAAAAAAGCTGAAGATCACCCAGAAGGAAAGGTGAGGACGCTTCATCCTCTGGCTGCCTCTGGGCTTGGCTATTGCTAGGACCTTGTGGGGGTCAGTGGAGAGTTGGGGTTGTGTTTCACTTCCTTCAAAAGGAGGGTTGTCTAAGGAATAAGAGCTGCTTGCAGGGCGGTAGTGCCTTCAGTTCCCGCTGATTCCGGAGAGGCCACTTCTGGCCGCTAGGTGGCTTTGGAGGGAAAGTGCTGAGTGTGTCTGTGAATGCTGAACAGGGTAAACATAGAATCATTGGGTTGGAAGGCACCACAAAGGTCATCTAGTCCAACCCCCTGCAATGCAGGAACCCACATTTTGCCCATTGTGGGCTGGAGCCGAAGACCCTCATGCTCTACTGACCCAGATGAATGCTGCTTGGTTCTGCTCTCCCAGCCAGTCTCACTTGGGCTCTGCTGATCCAGCTGCCAGGAGACGAGGGCTGGAGCCCAGGGCTGCTGCCTAAGCTCCTTGACTGTTTCTTGCAGGAGTGTTGGTGCTTGCGGGAAGGGGAATTGAACTTTCTGCAGTGGGAGTGGAAGAGGAGCACACAGTGGGGAGGCCTGGTGGGTTTTATTGCGTGCTGACAGTTCCTTCGCTGTAAACATCGTCTGAGGTGTGTTTTCTGTAACTTGTGCTTTGCATGTGTCTGTTTTTGGCCAGGTGAGGGTCCTCAGCCCCTCTGCAAAGAGCGGGACCCCTTATTTCCCCCTCCGCTCTCTCCCTTTCAACAGCAGGAAATCCAAGTCCCCGCCTAAAGTGCCCATTGTGATCCAGGACGACAGCCTTCCCTCGGGGCCGCCTCCGCAGATCCGGATCTTAAAGAGGCCTACAAGCAACGGGGTGCTCAGCAACCCCAACTCTGCCAGCCGGCCAGCCCTCCCGGTGAAGACGTTGGCACAGAGGGAGGCTGAATACGCCGAAGCCCGGAAGCGGATCCTGGGCAGCGCCAGCCCGGAGGAGGAGCAGGACAAGCCCATCCTCGACAGGTGCAGGGCTGCAGCGGCAACAGCAGGGCCCTGATCTCCTACAGCAAGAGGCCCAGACAAGCTGGAGTTCCCCCTCTGGGGCAAGGCCCTGGTGGGACTGGGGCTCAGGAGGAGGTGGGGGCACATTGGCTGGCCCCTTTTTTGCCTTGAGCTGAGCTCTTCGTCCCCAGCAAGCAGGCATGTGTCATGTGCTAGCCGGGAATGGGGACCCACCAGGGGCTCAGCTGTTGTCCTGTTCCAGCTGCTTGAGTTGTGAGAGAGAAATAAGCTCTTGGGGTGCCCCCTCTGCCCCCCCCAAGTGCACCAGGCAGTGGCGGAGGAAGGGGGTGTGCCCCGCACCAGGTGTCATCACTGATTGGGAGGGTGGCAAAATGAGTTTTCTTTAAAAAGGGGGTGGGTTCACAAAACTTTTTAGGAGTGACGTGGTGGCTTAGGCACCTGCAGGTTCCGCGCGGCCTGAAATGTCAGTGTGGGACTTGTGTCTGCCTACTGCTTCTCCCTCAGGTGCCCTGCAGCTGAGGGGGAGGCGGTGGAGAGGTTCGCCCTGCCCCCAGCTGCAGGACACGCCCCCACACCAGGCACCCGAGCAGCTGCAGCAGGCTTAGTTTGACAGTCCCAAGCCAGCCCTACTGGGGACAGATGAGGAGCCTGGCTTGTGCCTGCTCTCCTTTCTAGCCAGAAGGTGGGAGGTTGTGTCCCCTGAACCCAGCCCCCTCAGAAAGGGAGCTGTCCTGAGCCCGTGGCCCCCAGGGGAATCGCCTATTTCATGTTGCCTCCGGGCCCTTTGCTCGGCCATGCTGGGCATCCCGTGAGTCTCTGGAGCGCTGCGCTGCGTTGCCGTCCTCTTAAGGCTGCCTCCCTGCTCTTTCTCTTGACAGGCCCACAAGAATCTCCCAGCCAGGGGAGGCCCGGCAGCCCAGCAATGTGATCCGGCAGCCGCTGGGCCCCGACGGCTCGCAAGGCTTCAAGCAGCGCAGATAGGAATGGCCGTCCGGCCGACTTGGCGGCACTCGAGCGGGCACCTCCCCCACCCTGGGCTGCGCGGTGGCGGCAGTGGACACACGAACCTGAGCAGGGGGAAACTACCCGGGTGACTTGCACTGTGATCTCCTCCTCCTCCCCTCCCCTTTGCTCTGCCTCCTGTGCCCTTCTGCCCCTGGCACTGTGACCCCCGCCTGCCGCTTCCCCCACTGGGATTGGCATACTGAGGGGGCGGGGGCACGGCAGGGCAGGCTTCTCCAGGTTGCTGGGCTTGCCCACACAGCCACGCCTGCCAAAGCCAGCACCAGCAATAATAGTAATAATAAACGTTTGCGTCTCCGGGCGGGATGGCAGAAGGGCCGGGTGGCATTCTGCTTCTGGGAATGTGCATGTCTGTCCAGGTTGCTTGAGGAGCTAGGCTCGGCGGGAGGCGTGCACAGAACTGCATTGGTTTGCTTTCTGGGAACCGGAGGGGAAGAAGACGCCAGTGACGAAGGGGCGGGTGTGTTCGCTGTTTGGCTTGTTTATCTCAGAAGCGGGAGTTGGCATAGTTTCGAAGAGAAGCGAAATGGATTTTGAGGCACTTCAGATAGTAGTGGGGAGAGGTTTTCGCGTGCCCGGCTTCCCCTATCCGCTGCTGCTGCTGCGAAGCAGATGGAAAGGGCTCTCAGCCGCCTGCGTGGTGGGCTTTGGCGAGGCCTCTGGCTTGGGGTGACTCGTCTTGGCCTGCACCCCTGGCCTGGAGGGTGGAGGGGCCGTGGCCAGTGCCTCCCTCAACTGCTTGTGCTGCTTCCAGGCGGAGGGTGGGCAGGTGCTTTTTGCCACTGGGGCGATGAGCTTCCCCGGCCTTAGACTAGTTTAGTTTCCCTACTGCTGTCCTCTGCTGAGGCCATGAAAAGGGATAGGGGGAACCCCGTGGCCCAGCGATGCTTGTGCTGGCCAGAGTCGGAAGCCGTGGCAGGCGAGCTGTGAGCCGTGGGCCAGGATCGTGGCCTTGTTGCTCCAGGTGTGCTTCCGGTCCTGTCCCGGGTCAGTTTGCCACCAGGGGGCAAAGGAGCTGGGCACAAGCAATAGCTGCCATGCGGGGCAGGGAATGGATTGCCTTCCCTTGCAAAGTGGGACGGCGTCGGGCTCAGCTGCTGCATGTCTTGCAGAACTGTGTTTCAGACGCTGCCGAGTAAGCAGCTTCTTCTGCGTTGCTTTTCTAACTCAGACAGAATCAGTTGGTTTTTCCTCAAGCAACAAGAAGCCCCTGGTTGGGCCCAATCCCTGGCGTGTAGCCAGCAGCTCCATGTATGCTGGCCCAGGTCTGCTGCGTTGTAGGTGCTCCTAAGGGCCGAAGCGGTTGGGCCTCCCCCGTCCTCTCTAGTAGCCATATTGGGGAGGGGCTCCCCCAGCACCCCCCTCTCTGAGTGACTGTGGGCCTGCTTGCTTCACTGTGTTTCCAGAGTCTGCCTTTCTCTCTCTCTTTCTCTTTCTCTCTCTCTCTTTTTTGGTTTTACTGTCTGGTTTTGGAGGATCTCCTGGGTGGGATAGTGGGGTAGGCGGGAGCTGCTTTGACTGGTTTTGGGCCAAGTGCCCAGCGCACCGCAGCGATGCCTCCTCTTGTGCTGGAACGGAAGCGGAACTTTTGCCTACTTTGGGAGGGGGTGGGAGTTGTGGGGAAAGGTGTCTTGTTTGTACATCAACCCGAGACATGTACAAAAATATTGCAGAATAAATAACTGGTCAAAAGAGTAATAATAACAATAAAACTACCTGTGTACAAAAAGTGAAAGACACGATGGACCGTTGCTGTGTTGAATTTGCTCCCTTCCTCCGTTTGGTTCCTCCAGTGGCTTCCTTCAGCCTCATGGGCTGCTCTGCGCCGCTTTGCCAGAGCACTGGCAGCAAGATAGTCTCCTCCTCGTCCTCCTCAGGAGCGCTGGGCCTTGGGAGAGCTTGACATTTCTGCAGGACCCTGACCCTTGGATGGCTTTTGTAACATGGCCCTGACGCTTTCTTTCCGGGTGTAGCGAGGGAGGTGGGAGAGAGATAGTTATCCCTCCTGCCCAAGAGTAGGGAGAAATATGTGAGCAATAACTGCCTGGCATCACCATGACTTTCCTTAACTCTGCTTTGGGATTGGTTGCCCTGCGGGAAGTGCCGTCTTTGGCTGCTGCTGCTGCTGCTCCACCCAACTGCTCTTCTCTGGCTGCCTCCTTTCTTCCATTTAGGATTAAGTCTCCCCCATCTCCCCCAGAGCTGTACTTACCTACTTGCAAGTTGCTCCTAGGAGGAGGGCCCAAGCCCCACCAAGAAGAAAGGCGGTTACTGCTGTGCCACCAGCTGCACCATGGTCAAAAGGGGGGGGGTGCTTCCATCCTGCAGGCAGGGAGGTGGCACCCTTTTCGCTGTCTGCCATTGGGGGGCTTCTCTGGCACGGACAATGGGGCTACGGTCTTGTCCAGGAATCAGTGTTGGAATAAGTTGAAGGCCCTCTTCGGGGGGGGGGAGTGTGTGGTTGTGTGTGTGTGTTAGAAAGGGGGGCACTTCTTAGGGTGTGTGCATGTGTTCCCACATGGCAAGCAAAGAGGCTCCACCAGCCCACAGCCATCCTACATATGCAGACAAAACATTTTATAAATGTATTTTAAATAAATGTGTTAACTTTTAAGTATGTGGTCTCATTTATTCTTCTTATTTCCTCTTGGTGCGCTTGCATGCATTTCCCAGGCATAGAATGGTCAAATTGTGGAGTTGGAAGGGACCCCAAGGCTCACCTAAACCCACACCTTGCAATGCAAGAATCTCCAATGCATTGGAGGTTTTCAATCAGGGAGTGGGGTGGTCATTTGCCAAGGATGCTTTAGTTAAGCATCCTTGGCAAATGACCACCCAGTCCAGTCCCTGATTGAAAACCTCCAGTGAAGCAGACTCCCACCACCTTCCAAGGGAAGTCATTCCACTGTCAAACAGCACTTCGTGTCGGAAAGTTCTTTCTGATGTTTATGCAGAACCTCCTTTCTTGTAACGTTGAAGCCATTGGTTTGGGTTCTAGCCTCTGGAGCAGGAGAAAACGAGCTTGTTCCCTCTTCTATGTTCCCTTTTAGTCTCCTCTTTTCCTCAGCTAAACATACCCATTTCTCTCAACCATTCCTCATAAGGCTTGGTTTCCAGAACCATGACGGTCTTGGTTGCCCTTTTTCTATACATGTTCCAGTTAGTCAATAGCCTTCCTAAACTGCAGTGGCCAGAAGTAGACACAGGTCTCCAGGTGTGGTCTAACCAAGGCAGAATAGTGTGGTCCTTGATCTGAACACTACACCTCTGTTGATGCAGTTGTTGTTGTTTAGTCGTTTAGTCGTGTCCGACTCTTTGTGACCCCATGGACCAGAGCACGCCAGGCACCTCTGTCCTCCACTACCTCCCGCAGTTTGGTCAAACTCATGCTGGTAACCTTGAAAACACTATCCAACCATCTCGTCCTCTGTTGCCCCCTTCTCCTTGTGCCCTCCATCTTTCCCAGCATCAGTGTCTTCTCCAAGGAGTCTTCTCTTCAATCTAATTGGGTTTTGGGGTGGGAGGGTTGGCTGCCCCTTTGATGTGGGCCAGCTTTTATGGATGAAGATGCTCTCCTGTAGGACTGAAGGGCAGCGTTGCGGGGGGGGGGGTTTGCTTCTGGTTGCAAAACAGTATGGAGGACGGGAGCGGGGGAGGAGACAGAAGTCTACCTGGGCTATGTTGGCAAGAGGTGGGGGTGGGGATTCCCCTACATTAGGCAACGCGCATTATTACTTCTGGGGAATGGATCTTCCGCATACCAGATTCTGGAGTCACCCAGTGGAAAAAGCACTGCTGGCTTCGTGCCTGTTCCAGAAGCCTGTGAATGGCCACTCCGCTTGCTGGATCGCTACTCTCTCTCAAGCTGGCCTTTTCCGAACCTTTTCCAGATCCAAAAATGTCATTTTGCAGGCGGAAGCAAGAAGTTCGGCGCGGGGTGTTCAAAGTTCTGACACTTTTATTTTTCAAGTCATTTGATAAGAATCAGCTAGGGGGGCGGTCCCTCGTTCCTGCTCAGTTGCAGCCGGGTCAAGCCCCCGCTCCCCACCCATAGCTGTCAACTTTTCCCTTTTCTCGCGAGGAATCCTATTCGGAATAAGGGAATTTCCCTTAAAAAAAGGGAAACGTTGGCAGCTATGTACCCACCTTTAGCATAGATGAGCTGGATTTTCTTTTGCCCCACCGTGCAATGCTGGCTCCAGCCCCTGGACCCTCACCTCCCCCGGGAAAGGGGCCCTAGCTCGAACCGGGTCCCTTAAAATAGTTCTCGGTTCGACACATTGAGCGCTGTCGGCTCAGCCGAGACGCGGCTGCCGACGCCCTTCCCGGCCAGCAGGGGGAACAGCCGCGTCGGGATACAGCGAAAACCATTCTCTCTCTATACCTTTTATGTCCCTTCTAGCCCTATGCTTCCACCCCGCCCGCGTAGATATAAGAAAGTGTAGAGTGGCCCTCCCCAATTCCTGGATTCGGAGTCCTTAGCGCGGAAGAAGGCAGGGGTCCCCCGTTTTCTGTTGCCTACTGCGAAGGTGGGGAGACGGCGCTTCAGTGCCGTGGATTTTGCCTGTTTTCCATCGGGCAGCCGCTCGGAACCACAACGTTAAAAAGGCCCGAAGAACCCGGAAGCTTCCATTGAAATCACAGCGAGCACCACTCTACAATTTTCGCAAGTCTATGCGCCCTCCTCAGCCTGACGGCGGGAGGCGAGGGCCATTCCCCGAGCGGAGGTTGTCCGCAAAAGCGAACGGAGGCGAAGGAGGGGCCGCGGAGCCGGGAAGGCCTTTGAGGGGGCTCCGCTGCCTTGGCCGGCGAGGCTTTATTTCGCTGCCGTCTTCGCCTTCGACACAAGAGGCAGGAAGAGTCTTGGAGCCGGAACAACCCCCGCAGGAAGTGACGCAAAAGGGTGACGGACGCTTCCGGTTCGCGCGCGTCCGCGCATGCGCCTCCGTGGGCGGAGAGAGCCGCGCTTCCGGGTTCCGTGGAGTAGGCGGTCGAGATGGCGGAGGGCGAGGAGTACGAGTCGGTGCTCTGCGTCAAGCCGGAGGTCCACGTCTACCGAGTGCCCCCGCGTGCCTCTAACCGGGGCTACAGGTGAGCCGGGGAGACCCGGGGCATGTGCAGAGTGCCCTCCTTTCCCTGCCTCGGACTCTCTCCCCTCCCCCCACTTTCAAACCAATGGTGTCCCTGCGGGTTGGGGCTCAAGGCTCAGTTCGCGCTGCTGGGGGGGGGGCGGAAGGGGCGTACAGTGGCACCACCGTCGTGTTAAAAGGGGAGTTTTGAAGGGGTGGCAGCGAAGGAGGAACATGGCAGGGGTGTTGGTTTTTTTTGGATAAGGGTGCTTAATAAAGGTAAAGGGACCCCTGACCATTAGGTCCAGTCGTGACCGACTCGGGGGTTGTGGCGCTCATCTCGCTTTATTGGTCAAGGGAGCCAGCGTACAGCTGGTCATGTGGCCAACATGACTAAGCTGCTTCTGGCAAACCAGAACAGCGCACGGAAACGCCGTTAACCTTCCTGCCAGAGTGGTACCTATTTATCTACTTGCACTTTGACGTGCTTTCGAACTGCTAGGTTGGCAGGAGCAGGGACAGAGCAACAGGAGCTCACCCCGTCACGGGGATTCGAACCGCCGACCTTCTGATTGGCAAGTCCTAGGCTCTGTGGTTTAACCCACAGCGCCTAGCCTACTCCTTTAACAAACATGGCGTGAAAGAGAAATTTGCTCCGAAGCCCGACGAGGACACCTGATGTCTTTGTGTGTGTTGCAGCTGTGGGTTTTCTGCACTGCAAAAAGAGGGGAGGGGGTGGGAAGCTGGTGTTCCGGGGGGCCCTTCCAACGCTTTTGATTCTGTTGGGTGACTTTTAGCCCTGAACAGCGGCGCTGTCTTCTCTCCCTGGTGCTAGAGCTGCGGAGTGGCAGCTGGACCAGCCAGCATGGAGCGGGCGCATGCGCATAACAGCCAAAGGGAACGTGGCCTACATCAAGTTGGAGGACAAGAACTCAGGTAATGGGGAGTGAGGCGTCCATTGTCTCCGTGCAGCATGGTTGTTGGAGAGAGGGAGCTTCTCCTAGCCCGGAACTCAGTTTAGGCCTTAGCTAAGTCTCAGGGAAAAGGAGACACAGTGACTGTGGTTCAGGGCAATCCTTTTTAGCCAGGTTGATTGTCCATAGGATGCCAGAATTGGGTTCTTTTATGGGTCTGTCAAGCTACCCTGACTCGCTTGCAGTGCACAGGAGTCCAATAGTTAATTTTCTGGAAGGCAGAAAGGGCACATCTTAAACTGTAGAGTCCTCCCCCCCCCCCAACTTATTTGTGAACTTAAGTTTCCAATTCAAAGCATTTTGAAGGACATGAATGAGCATTGATTCAGAATCTCTGCATCAGTGTCACACACCCATTGTGTCACTTTCATTGAACCAAAATGCACAAGTATGAAGAGAAGTAACACAATCTGCTAACTATGGGACGCACTCATGGCACCCAAAGTATCTTTGGTCGGATGGGAGGGAGAAGCTGACCAGCTGGTTTCACACCCTCACTTTCCCCCCTTCCAGGAGAACTTTTTGCCCAGGCTCCTGTGGACCAGTTCCCCAGCATTACTGTGGAGGGTGTGACGGATTCCAGCCGATACTTTGTCATCCGCATTGAGGATGGGAACGGTATGGAGGCGGAGGTTCGGATCGTGTCCTCCTAGGCACGCAGGGCAGCTGGAATCAGTTCCCCTCTTGTGCATCTCCTGGAATGATCCTAAGGCAGCACCTGCAAGCCCTCTTTCCCTCAAAACCCAAAGCTTCCTTCTTGCAGCAAGCTGGGATTTGCCAGGACTTGGGGGGCCTTTGGGAAGAGGACCCTCTGTACCCATTTCCTCAGCATGCTCTTTTCTGGCCCTCTTGGCGCCGGCACAGCTTGCCTCCCCCAGGGCTGCTGCTTTTTGGTCACCCCCCCCCCCACTCTGCTCTCAGATCTCTTCCCACTGCCTGCTTTTTGCCTTGTTTGGGTTGGCTAACAGTGGGCTGCTAGTTGGGTCCAACGATAGGAGAGGGCACTGTCCTTGCACCTGCCATGGTGTGTGTGAGACCCTTCTGCTTTGGTGTGGTTTTGTTCCTGGGAAGTTGACTTCAGTCCTCCGTGCCAGTGAGGCCCCATGTGGGCCTTTTGCCTCTGGCCAGCTTGCTGCCACAGCCACTCCTGGCACCCCTGGTGCCACCGAGCTGCCCCTCTTGTAGGTGCTGCCCTTCCCCTCCCAGGGCTGCCTGGCTCCCTCTGCACTCTGTGGGCAGCCGGGGCCTCTCGGCACTTCCTTGGTGTGCCACAATGAAAGCTCTGCTGCCGAGAGAATGAGCATGGCTTCTCTTGCAGGGCGCCGGGCCTTCATTGGAGTCGGCTTTGTTGACCGAGGTGATGCCTTCGACTTCAACGTCGCTCTGCAGGACCATTTCAAGTGAGCATCTGCTTCCCACTTTGCAGAGTGCCTGGGTGTCGAGACCTTCCCCAGCCCAAGGGGAGCAGGTGGAGTCTATGCTACACCGGGTGGAGCCTTGGAAGAGCAAGGCGCCTTTCCATGCGAGCCAAGCTAATTCTCCTGAGCTGGTGCAAGCTACCTTTTGCCTTCTGGGGTTCCTTCGAATGCCCCTTCCTGGCTCTGCTGGTGCAAAACAAAACAGAAACCTCAACCCCTCCCCCTGTGAAAGAAGCAGCGTGGGAAGTGAAGGAAGAAAGCAAGCGGGGTTTTGGGCAGCTGCCGATTGCAGGTGGGGGCAGATTCTGTCACGACTTGCAGTCCCCTTTTGCTCTCTGTAGCCCTGGTGTCTGCTTTCCTGAAGGAGCCTGCATTCTGGTAAACCGCCGGCAAATTGGAGGATTTCAGCAGGCGAGCTAGGGGGCTGATTCTGAGGATGGAAGCAGGGGGGGGAACTTGCAGGAGGAGTTTCCCCCCTGCAACTCTCCATCTGCCCAGGCTGGGTGGGGCGGGTGGGGGCGGGATGGATATCCCAGACAGATGAGGGTTGCAGGGGAAAGCAGCCATGATTCCCTGCAGACACTCCTCCCACCAATTGAAATCAAACACAGGGTTTTGGGTGCTGCCTTTGTGGCCGCAACAGATTTCTTCTGAAAGAGAAGGTGCTTGCTTTCCTGGGCTTGGGTGCTGAGCGCAACATAGCTACTTTCCCTACACTGCCCGCTGCCAACACCTTAGGCTTTTTGCCCTGCTCCCTCCTGACACCCCACCCCCACCCCAATTTCTTCTCTCAACAGGTGGGTCAAACAACAGAGTGAGCTGGCCAAGCAGGCCCTGAATCCAGACCAGGGCCCCAAACTGGACCTGGGCTTCAAGGAAGGACAGACAATCAAGCTCAACATTGCGGTGAGGAGGAGGGACCTCTCTGGGCTTGTCCGGCTGTGGCAGAGGGGGTGGGGGATAGGCTGTGGAAAAGGAGTCGCAAAGCAAATGCTAACGAAATCAGCAAGTCAAGCCATGGGTTACCAAGGGACACCACCCAGAGTTGATAGCCTGTAGCACCTGGAAGAAAGTTCCTTTCTGACCCCAAATGGATGGGGAACTAATCCGATCATCAGGGACGCGGGTGGTGCTGTGGGTTAAACCACAGAGCCTAGGGGTTGCCCATCGGAAGGTCGGCAGTTCGAATCCCTGCAAATGGGTCACCTCCCGTTGCTCAGTCCCGGCTCCTGGCCACCTAGCAGTTTGAAAGCACGTCAAAGTGCAAGTAGATAAATAGGTACCGCTCCAGCGGGAAGGTAAACGGCATTTCCATGCACTGCTCTGGTTCGCCAGAAGCGGCTTAGTCATGCTGGCCACATGACTCGGAAGCTGTACGCCGGCTCCCTCAGCCAATAAAGCGAGATGAGCACTGCAACCCCAGAGTCGGCCACAACTGGACCTAATCGTCAGGGGTCCCTTTACCTTAATCCGATCACCAGCAGATTATACCCTCCCTCATCCCAAAGGGATTTCTTTTGAGACATAGACACACACCCACACCCCAGCATCCTAGCCCTGTGCCCTGCTTCTGCCTCTATATCACTTGACCACATGATAATGGCTTTTTAGAAACGAACAACACTATACAAGGTCAAAGGAGGGGGGTGGGGGGAGAGTCTTTTTGCTCGTGTGTCCACTGTGTGTCAATGTGTGCAAGGAGATGAGACAAAGGCAATTGTTCAAAGTCATCTCAGCCCGGGCCTTGACTTGTGGTCAAGGGAACGTCCCCAACATGCTGGCTGGAGCTGCAGGTTGCTTGCAGGTGGATGAGGCCTTTCCCTCCTTTCAGCTGGGATTGCTACCCGCGCAGAGACGCAGCCATGGGCCGGGGAACGCCCTTCGCCCCTTTGAGTGACTGACCATGCCATTCAATCTCCTTTCAGAACGTGAAGAAGAAGGACGGCTCCTCCTCGGCCAGCAGGCCCCGAGCAACAGGCTCTGGGGGCCCCAGCCTCATCCCACCCCCTCCTGGAGGAAAGACCGCCCTGACCGGGGAGCAGCTTTCGTCTGCTGCTGAGGCAGGTCTGTGTTTCCCATCGATCTCACTCGCAAAATAGAAAGTCCCTTATGGCAGCGCACAGCCGTCCTACTTCGGAGCTGGCTTTCCCCAAGCCAGGCTTGCTTGTTATGGTTATGGGCAGGTAATTTCCCAGCCTTGCGTCGCTGGACTCTAAGGTTTTCTCGGGGCAGGCAAGCTTCAGAGCAGAGGAGGCTGCTCCGGTTAAACTCCCAGCCCCGCCAACATTGTCTCAGCTGCCTGCCTTTCTGGGGTCTTCCTCTCCACCAGGTCCCAGGGGCTCTTAAAGGGCTGGCCAGGAAGGTGCTGCGAAATATATCCCAAGTGACGAACAGTTATCTCTCTGTCTCTCCCTCCCTGTATCCTGTTTATCAGCAGACGTCTCCATCCCGTGGCCGCCTCCGCAGGCTTCAAATTCTACAGCAGAAGCAGCTGCGGACATCTGGGGAGACTTCACCAAAGCTTCTGGGTGAGTCTCACACGTGGGTTGCAGAAGTTGAAATGTGTCCCCTTCCACCCACCCCACCCTTTAGCCGGAAAACTCCTTAATCTGACATCTGACACACCTGAAGGAGCGTCTCCACCTCCATCGTTCTGCCCGGACACTGAGGTCCAGCTCCGAGGGCCTTCTGGCGGTTCCCTCCCTGTGAGAAGCGAGGTTGTGGGGAACCAGGCAGAGGGCCTTCTCGGTAGTGGTGCCCACCCTGTGGATGCCCTCCCACCTGATGTCAAAGAGAAAAATAACTACCAAACTTTTAGGCGACATCTGAAGGCAGCCCTGTTTAGGGAAGCTTTTAATATTGAATAGGTTATTGTATTTTAGTGTTCTGTTGGAAGCTGCCCAGGGTGGCTGGGGAAACCCAGCCAGATGGGTGGGGTATAAATAACAAATTATTATTATTATTATTATTATTATTATTATTATTATTATTATTATTATTATCTTCTGTTGATGGGACCCAAGGGGTGCCAGGTTCATGACGTTCAAGTCCCAGTGGTGGGGAGATCCTCTTATCCAAAGGGTAGGGCTGCTTTCTTGGAGAAGCAGTGAAACTCCATTGCCTCCTCATGCCATTCACTGTGTGATGGGAGGAGGTTACGTCCAGATGTTCAGGAGGAAGGGACCCTCTTTGTCCCCAGTGCAGGCCCTGGGCCCCTGCAGATCCACTCCTTGCTGAAGGGAGCGCCTCTTCTTTCTCCTCCTAGGTCTGCCTCCAGTCAGGCTCAGCAGAGCTCCACCAGCTGGGTCCAGTTCTGAGCTGAGCATCTTGTGCTTCTCTGGTCGGGGGTGAAGGCCACGGAAGGACCCTTGTGGACCAAAGAGGAAGCTCCTTTGCCCTTGTGGTGCATCATGAGATCCCAGTCCTGGATGTGTCTGGATGTTTGCTTGGGGCATTTTATGGGATAGGGAAGGTGGGGGTCAGCTGGGGCTGTGCAGATCCTCTTCTCTCTCCCTCCACCTCCATCTACCCCCTCAGCACTTGGGGTTCCTGAAAGGGGAGGGAGGGAGTTTTTCCTGGGTTCAGATCACAGCTTAAGAACCTGGGAAAGAGGGAGACAGCTGGGCCTGTCCAGAAAGAAAGAGGCGCCTTCCTGTCTCTTGCCTTTTTTCCTGTCTTGTGTGGTGTCTTAACGGTGTTTCTTTGATATGCTTGCCTCGCCTCGCCCCCTTTCTAGCTTGGAGGGATTTTGTGGCGCAGCTGCCCTAGGAAACACACACTCTGCACGCGGGCAAAGGCGGCTTCCCTTGCAGGAGGTGACCGGCAGCGCCCTGCCTTCGCAGCCCACCTTGCAAACTTGAAATGGGCTTACCTGTCGCACATCTCCCTCTCGGAATTTCCAGGGTGCCTTCCACACTGGAAGGACGCTGGACCCCGATTCTGTCATGTTGCTCTGCCTCTGATGGTTGTGGTGGAGGTGAGAGAAGAGTCGTCAGCTTGCTGCAGAGGCGGCGAGCAATGATGCCACGTCGATGTCCTTTGAGGGCGGGGGTCCCTGGCTTTTCTTTGCCTTGTGAAGTGCCTTCTCTTTTTCCTTCTCCCTCCCCTGCTAAAACTGGCCTTTTGAGTAGCTAGAGCAGTGGAACTTCTGACATTCCATATTGGTGTGGCTTTTAACGTGCGCACACACACAACAAATTACCCTTTTACTTTCGGAGAGACCCTGGGTTTTTCTCCTATCGCAGGTGCCTCAGACATTGTGAAGGACAAAAACTGCCCTCTGGGCCATCTTACGGAACCGGGTTTTAATTCTCTTTTGAAATATAGATCTTTGTATTCACTCCTATCCTATTTATTCTAAGACGAAGGCCTTTTACAGAACGTTTTCTTACTATGAAACTCCATGAAGTTTTTGCTGCCTTTTGTTTTGTTATTTTTGAGCTGGTTCCTTATTAAAAATGTATATGTATATATATTTATCTGTATAAAAGCCTTTATTTGTCTTTGGGAAAGGGGCTGGGGAAGCAGAAATGGACCCAGGTGGGAGAGCGAAAATGCCAAAATAATTAGTAAAAACAGTGTCTCAGTGAGATTCACATGTTGGGTGGATCATGGGTGGGTTCCCAAGGACACTTTCCTACACCTAAGGGTGGTGCCCAATGTTGGCCATTGAATTTAATAGATGCGGCTATTTTAGTGTGGCTCCTCTGATTAGAACTTCCACTCCTATTGTGTCTGTTTTTTTGAGGATTGGCACTCTGTTCATGCCCAGAGGTACAATTCTCTTGCTCCCCAAGTTCCTTGGCTGGCATTTGTGACTGTGAGCAAAGAACATTTTCCAGCCAAAAAAACAGCCCCAGAACCCCAAAAAGCAGTATCATTTCGGGGGATGCAAGGTGGGATTTTTCCCCTCTCAAGCCAAATGCTGAGTCCTGCTTGTCTTTCTCGGGGACAGAGAAATCACAGTGCTGCCTCTGGCCAATCCGCTTGGCTTTGAATTTGCCCCCACTGCGTTGCAAATGTCTGGTGGTGTCCCCAGGTCTCAAACAAGCTTCTAGCTATGGAAGAAGATGACCCAGGGAGAGGCTGCCTCCCAAAGCCCTATCACCCTTTCACTTTTCCTGACATGTCAGGCCTAGCTTACAGAGCCGCTTCCAGTTTTCGCAAAATCCTGGCGGGAAGCGGCGGCTGTGTCCTAGTTGGGGGTCACTGGGACATGCAAGAAAAGCCTCCCTTTCGGTAAGAAGGCAGCGCTCAGCCGCCCCGCAGGGCGGCCGTAATTCCCGGAGACTTAAGCAGCTTATGCTGGTGCTGCCTGGGTTTTCCCCGGGTGCAACCGGAGCCTTTGGCACGCGCCTTGGCCTGGAAGAACAAGAGGAGGAGGAGGAGGAAGCGCGTTCCACTGCCCGGCGCTATAGTAACGCTGCTGCGGTTTGAGAAGGCAGCTGATCGCCCAACAGAGCCACCTGTGCCAGGTGAGGGGCTGACTTGGCGATGGGGGGGCAGCCCTGTCCTGGGTCACTAGGAGGTCAGGGGCCAGGGCTGATGCTCTGCTGGGCAGGGAAGGCCCTGCACTCCACACATGCTCCGAGGCACTGCACAACAGCCTCCTGTCCACCCCCTTCCGGCTCCAGAAGCGCAGCCTCGGGACTGAGCTTTCGCAGGTGGGGCGCCAGGTACCCCTTTTCCTACACTGGACAAGTTGCAAGCAAACGAATTGGCGCCTTTGAATTCAATCGACCCAAAAACTCCCCACTGCGCTTGCACAGCGCCTTCAAAACTGCTGATGGGGCTCCTTCCCCTTTGACAGGTTGGATGGGGCAGAAATCCAACAGGTGCAGCATCGGCCAGGCGCGGGCGAGGCTCCATCTGTTGAGTTTCTGCTCCGTGCCCTCCCGGCAAAGGGGCACATTCCCCGATCAGAAAGTTGAGCCGGCTCCCTCGGTGGGGGCTCGGGCTGCTGCTCCGCCCGGTGTCTGCCCCGTGCCGAGTATCTGAGCTGCAAACTTTGGGGAAGGGGCCGTCGTGACTGCATCAAACCGGAGAAGCGGCGGCCTCTAGGACCCGGGAGCGCCGCGGCTTGAGTCCGCGGGGGAGGCAGCCTGCAGCCGCCCCCCCCCTCTTCTGCTGCCGGGCGGCGATTGGTCCAGCCCTGCTCCCCCCTGCAGCCGCGGGACCCGGGAAAGAGGCGGGGGGGGCGGCGGCTCGGGCTGGCGCTCCTCCCCGGGTCCTGCCCCTCTCCTCCAGCAGCAGCAGCAGTAAGCATCGCATCTGCCGTGCAAAGGGCCATGGAGGCGGCCCCCCCTGCCCGGCAGGAGCCCCCCGGAGCCCGGCCGTAGAGCGGCGGCGGCCCCCTCCCCATGAGCAACGCGGAGGCTGCGGAGCTGAAGCTGGAGGCTGCGGTTCAGGTCGGTGGGGGCTGCCTGGCGGCGGAAGCGGGAGCATCCTTCAACCCCCTCCGGCAACCCGCCTGCTTTTCTTTCTTTCTTTCTTTCTTTCTTTCTTTCTTTCTTTCTTTCTTTCTTTCTTTCTTTCTTTCTTTCTTTCTTTCTTTCTTTCTTTTCTTTCTTCCTTCCTTCCTTCCTTCCTTCCTTCCTTCCTTCTTTCTTTCGGGGCGAATATAGTCTCCTTTTTTGGGGAACCTGGGCGCATCTTCTGCATACAGACTCCGAAGTTGGCGCCAGAAACAACCCCCTAAAAGTAAGACCCCCTAGCCCGTCGTCTCGCTGAATTGGCCTTTATTCTACTCTTTCTCTGCCTTTTATGGGAATTCTTCCAAATTAGTCTTGCCTTGGATGCTGGAAAATATTTGTACCTTTGGATCAGGCAAAGGTTTGTAATGTCTCCTCTCTTGAAGGCAAATATCTCTCTCCTCCCCCCTTTTAATTATCCTTAAAAACAAACAAACTAGGTTTGGGTAGCTGATCTCAAAGCTGAGGAAAGCAAGGTTTAATCGTGAGGGATTGCATTAGAAAGCTAAAATCAACCCAAGTAGTTTACTGGAAAAGAGAATAATCTTATTTGTGTAGGAGCTGCTGTTGGATCCTTAGTGTTACAGGAGGTTTACAGATGTAAAGCTAAATTCAGGCTGCAATCTGAAGTTGCATCCCAGTCCTCTGTCCTGATTTAACAGGCGGGCCATCTAAAGTAAATGTAGCCTCACTCTGGAGTGAAGTCTTCTGCACTCCTTAGGACTTTGGTGACTCTGAAGGTGTTGGACAGGGGTCAGGGAACTTTTTCAGCAGGGGGCCGGTCCACTGTCCCTCAGACCTTGTGAGGGGCCAGACTATATTTTGAAGGGGGGGGGATGAACAAATTCCTATGCCCCACAAATAACCCAGAGATGCATTTTAAATAAAAGCACACATTCTGCTCATGGAAAAAACATGCTGATTCCCGTGGGCCTTATTTAGAAGGCAATTGGGCCGAATCCGGCCCCCGGGCTTTAGTTTGCCTACCCATGGTGTTGGAGGACTCTGTGGGTTTGATCCAGCAAGAAGGAGGCATGATGAAGTCCCATCAAACTGAGTAAACTCCCCATTCCAGCCACAACCTCTCAGCCTCAGCTCTCCTTCTGAACCAAAGGCATAACTGTACTTATCTACCTTGCAAAGTTGTTGTCGGGTTTGTGCAAGAGGGGTTGCTCAGTTTTGGGGAGCGCTTGATGAAGAACATCTGGGTCAGTTGACCAAAAGATCCAGGGTTGTTTTTTTCACGTCTCCATCCTTGGCGGCTTCTTCCGTAAACAGGTTGGGGAATGTGTCTTGAGTCTGGGAGCTGGGGGAGTAGTATAATAATAATAATCATCTTCTTCTTCTTCGGCAATCACTCATAGCCAAGTAAGATTGTCTTCCATAAATACGGTTTTAACAATGAGTCCATAAGTGACTGTGGAGGCCAATTCTGGATTCACATGTCCTTCCACAGTGGGAACATAGGTTTCCAGGCCGGAGTTGATCATGGTGACGGTTTGCCAAGTGTGCCTTCCTCTTAGCACGTTTCTCCCTTGCGTCCTGAGTTCGAGTGTCTTCAAAGCCCATGACACCTTTGCTAAAGGCTGTTCTCCAACTGCAGCGCTCGCGGACCAGTGTTTCCCAGTTGTCGGTGTTTATCCTACATTTTTTTAGATTTGCCTTGAGACAGTCTTTAAACCTCTTTTGCTGACCACCTGCATTACGCTTTCTATTTTTAAGTTCGGAATAGAGTAGTTGCTTTGGAAGATGATCATCAGGCATCCGCACAACATGACCCGTCCAATGAAGTTGATGTTGAGTGCCTAAGTTGGAGGGGCGGGGGGGGGGGAAGAGCCTCTCCCTCCCCCACACTCCGCAAAGAAGTCAGCCAAGTCCTGAGTCCCGTTTTGGAGGTGACCTTTAAACCTTCTATGGGATAACGGAGGGCCAAGGAGGAACATTTATTGGATTGCTGGGCATTAGGGCACTAAATCTGGACATCCTTTTATACTGAAGCCATGGAGGAACAGGGTCCCAAGGCACAGTGAGGGGGGGGCGCTGATTCAAGGCCCGGCCTTGGCAAGGGAGAGAGAGCCCCGCCCCAAGTTGCCCATTTGAGTTGCCCACATCCCTTCTCTTTCCACCTTTCCACGCCCCAGGCCACAATGAAGTACTGAGCCCCATTTGCGGCCAGGCCCAGTAGCTCATTTTAGTCCCTCCTCCGTGAGCTTCATGGGCTGGAGATTCTGGGAGAAGGTTGGGTTTTTGTACTGGGGACCCCCACTCCTGAGACAGGCCACCCTCTGCTGCATGAGGATAGAGCTGCCCCCTAAGTGCGGAATATGTTCAGATTTCCCTCCACCCCTGTGGATTCCATCTCTCCTTGCAGCCTGCAGGCTGCTGCCTCGCTTGGCTTACCCAGTACAGTCCCAGTTGCTGAACTGGGCCGGGGACTGATATATGGGTCAGCCTGCGTGGAAATTTTGGTTCCACCCAAACCCCAGAGTGAAATGTAGTTCACTGACTGCTATATAGGCGTGTAAAACTATAGAGAAAGTTCATCTGGTTTTTAATTTAGCAATGATATTGATGTCTCCGTGTGTGTGTGTCCCAGAGACAGGGCACTCTTATTCCCATCTTATTGATGGGGCCACTGAGGGAGAGGCTTAACTCAAAAAGCCCAAAGCCAAGCCAGGGAGCCTGGAATAGAGGCAAGAGGCTCCCTCAGTTCTCCTGGCACCAGAGGCCAATTTTTCACCTGCTGGGCGGCTGCAACCTTTTTTGGCCAGTGTGGCTTGTTCCTGCTCCATGCTGCCTCTGCATCTTGCAGTTGGGCAACACCATCTTGGGCTCCCCATCTTGGCCCCATCTTGGCTTCTTCAGGGCCGGTCCCTGGTTGCTGAGACTGGCTTGTTCTCACCCTGCAGAAAGTGGAAGACAGCATCCTGATCTCAGCAGAAGGAAAGAGCCTCTCTGTCAGGGGCTCCTGCGAAGACTCCCCACCCACCCGCTTGCCGGCTAG